AAAATACCGTGACATAGGCATAGCATGGGAGTTGCACGCTCCTAATGATGGGCTCCTGCGTTGGGTTACTAAACTTAAAAATTAATATCAAATTATAAGACTCCATTTGACATAATGCAAGTTTTAAGCCTGCGGAAACTTGGTGAGATCCAGACATCAGGGATATTCGAGAGACTGTTGAAAAATATTATTATTTTAGTTGTCTATATTTTGGGGGTTTCTTTAATAATTAACAATTCAGTCCACTCGCGCTTGTTGGATATATAAACAATAGCCTCCATTTGACTCGGAAAGATTCTCGGATATTTGTCCGCGGGCGTTATCTGTTCCGAGAAGGAGGCGCTGGCAACAGGGCGAACTCAGGCGGGCATACACACAGTCAAGATTAAAACATAGTAAAAGACTTAGACTTTGTCTTTGGCTTTTGTCTTTGTAAGCTTTGAGGAACAAATAATGTCCAAGGACAAATATCCGAACATATTTTCGCTCCAAATAGAGGCTATTGTGTTTATTATCCTTCCAATATATTTCGCAACACGCGNGGCTTTACGTAACTGTAAGCTTTGAGGAACAAATAATGTCCAAGGACAAATATCCGAACATATTTTCGCTTCAAATAGAGGCTATTGTGTTTATTATCCTTCAAATATATTTCGCAACACGCGCAGTTTTGGAAATTGAAGAATATCGTTCGGATATTCCCCTGTTTTAGCCGGGGAATATTCAGTCACGTGATACGTTTGGACCAATCGCGCGCAAGCGAAAATATTTGATGGTTTATAAGAGATGATTATAGCTCATATCCCAAGCGCGCTCGTGGAATATATAACTGTTATTTAGGCGGTTAATAACCGATGATACCAACTCCGTAAGATAGGTTTGCCAGTGATTCCAGCTGATCCTAACAGGTGAGGTCGGATTACGGTCACTAAACAGTAACACCATTTCTCGTGCGTGGTCTTTACGGCAACCTTTCTTTACCCAATTATTTGATTGACAAAATCCTGACCAAAATAAAAAAAAA